TTTGATCAAAGAAGCCACTTTTGCAGGGAGTGGTGGTTAATACAGAGATTCATAACTAGTCAAAGTGCTGAAAATAAGTGACTGTTGAATATGCAGATGGGACATCTACAGCACTCCCTACAGGGCTTACAAAACATCACAGGAGAGAGGGTGGAAAGAATGTAAGAGCTGGAGGTAGTGGGGGTGGTGTGGAATGCTGACTTCCAGACAGGATATGGTCACTGCACTTTTAAACTCACAGAATTTGTAATTACCAGTACAAGATCAGTAAACAATTGGGCCCATCAAAATCTGGGAGCTCACGAAGCCCTATCTGAGCGTCTATAGGCAGTTAATAGTGGCTAGAGATGGGAGAGATCTTCTTCAGAGATTTTCTAATAAGGTGCCCATGTTCCTATAAAGGGCCTAGTTACCTATGCTTTTATAAGCAACCCTAATGAAACTCATTGGGCCACCCAAAAAGAAAAAGAAAAACAACCAGAAGACATAAAATATAGAAGGAGGACTCATAAGGAAGAGGAAAGGGTCAGTGGACAAGGGGGACAAGAGAGTGTGACAGGGTAAATATGATCAAAATAAATTATATATATTTTCTAGAAATACATATAAATATGTATTTTGAACCTTACCATGATTTTCAGTGACCTGGCTCTCTCCATCCTGAGTATATATTGCTTCACATGGAACCATGAAAGCAAGACTGCTATTTGTCATATCAGTTAGAAACCAAGCATATGCTTCTTTCATTGAAATTAGGAGTTGTATTTCAGCTCATACAGCCAGGACTTTTGGACAAGGCCATACTGCTAAGGTAGTAGATGCTTTCCCACCCTCACTGTCTTGAATCCAGAGGAAGAAGCCAGCTACTGAGGCCTTCCTGCTTTCATGCATCATCATTCTTCTAAAACTGATCATTTATGGCAGTGTGAAGAGATAGTAAAGGGACCTCCCCAGTTTATTCTGCCACCTAGCTGCTAAGCATGATGGGAGTCTCATGCCATTTTCACAAAGGAATGTAGGCTAGCTTATTGTGATGAAGTTTTGCATGTCTAAATCTAATCTATAATTTTTCTTTTTTAAAAAATTATGTATATGAGTGCTGTATCTGAATATATGCCTTTATGTCAGAAGAAGGCATCAAATCCCACTATAAATGACTGTGAGCCACCATGAGGGTGCTGGGAATTGAACTCGGGATGTCTGGTGTTCTTAACCACTGAGCCATCTCTCTAGCCTCCATCTTCAATTTTTCTTACTACAGAGCTAGTTTTATTTTCCCTGTGCCACCTTCTGGCACCCACCTCCTGATTCCTATGTTGCATCTTTTGTGAGATTCATTCCTTTGACTACTCAGTAGACAAACCCATTTCAAATCAGTTGTGGAGTAACAGACGGTGGTGGGGAGGTCCTGAGCTAATATGATGCAGTTGTTTGTTCTCAGTCGTAGAGCAAGAACACCAGGCCACTGAATACAATTTCAGGAAGGTATATTTGTAAATGGAAAAGTAACACCTCAGTAACTGCCTTCCCAACTTTCTACCTGATTGCTGCTTATTTTTAGGTGGCAGTAACAAAGACCATCTACTACTTTTGCTGTGCTCACAATCCTCATTTATGTTGAAAAGGTCAGTTTGACATCTCCCTGAGCATTTCCATATGGAGACTTCACACATCTCCACAGGGAATTAGTGGAAGACACACTTCTCTGCCTGCTTTGTAATAGAAGAGAACTGGCAAATCAAAAGGCAGAATATCTGGGCCTGTCACTCCTCCTCTGTCTTGTCTGCCTGCTGGGATTTGTCCCTGCACACCTGTGGTCCCTGCAGGGGCGTGCATGCATAGACTTGGGGCCAGAGCATATACCTTCCCAGTAATAAATTGCAAATGACAGGTAGGAAGGGACCTCAGGTTCAAGACGGATTCTTCACCAGAAGCCCTGTATTTGAGTGGGTAGTGAGCACTCACTCAGCTTAGAAAACTGACATTTGACTCAGATCTTGGAGTGTGACTCTGAACTCCCAGGGACAAAGAAGTGAATGCTACACTCTACAGACTGCTGAAAATGTATAGCTCCTGGAGAGCTACACTTGAAATTGGCATACATGAAAACAAGCTCTCCGCATTCCTGCTTGTGGTTCTTAGAATAAGAATGGTCCCCGTAGACTCATATATTTGAATGCATAGGGAGTGGCATTTGAAGATGTGGCCATGTTGGAGTGGGTGTGGTCTTGTTGGAGGAAGTGTGTCACTGGAGGTGGGCTTTGGAGTTTCAAATGCCTAAGTCAGACCCAGTGGCTCTCTCTCTTTCTGTTGCCTGCCAACCCAGATATAGAACTCTAGGCTCTTTCTCCAGTACTATGTCTGCCTGTGCACCTCCATGATTCCTGCCATGATGATAATGGGCTGAACCTCTCTGAAACTGTAAGCCAGCCCAATTAAATGTTTTTCCTTATAAGAGTTGCTATGGTCATGGAATCTCTTCACAGCAATAGAAACCCTAAGGAAGACATTGATCCTTTTAAACTTCCTGTCTGAGAGACTGGTCTCAGTCTTCTGTGGTATTCCAAGCTAAAATTCTGGTTGTCTTAGTATATATTGGTCTTTGTGAGTTTACTTCAGACCTACCTCTCTCCTCATCCACACATATAGCTCTGCATCCTACATGTAACTCAGACCTCAGCTGAAGACCTCACATACTAGGTCTTTACTGTCCTACAAGAATGAGTGCATCTGTAATCCCCATTCTACCACACTGCATTGAAACATGCATCTTTGATTATTTATTGCCTCTTCTGCTGGACTCTCAGATGGATGTAAGTAGAGGCTGTGTCTTGTTCCTTCTTGAATGCAAGCATAGGCAGCCAGCAGTAGCTGTCTCATAGATAATGCCTTGCATGAACGACCTTGAGGCCTTTGGGTGCCTGAGGCTGTATTGCACCATGGTAACAAACCTAGCTTTAGAACTTGCGACCATGGTAACAGGCCTAGCTTTGGAACTTGAAGCTGGCCTCAGACCCTGCTATTTGCATGATCTTTGTGTGTATTTCTTGACTTCTTTATCTTTAACTTTGTCATCAGTAGTCTGAGGATACTAACTGCTTCTCAAGGCTGTGATGATGTGACATAATTCATGAAAAACACTTGAGCAATGTATGACTCATACATAGAGTTCAGTGTGTTATAGAGTCTAATCAGAGCAACAGCAGCAGCAGGAATAACACAGCTGTCGCTAATGGCAGGAGAAACTGTAAGAAATACATGAAACTTGAAACCAGGCAGATTGAATGCTTGTATATAGATTTAAAAGAGGTAGAGAGTTATTTAGGATAAAATGTAGGAACAAGGGCTGGAGATACTGGGGAAGAGTGCTTACCTCCTATGTGTGGAGCCTTAATTTCAATCTCCAGTACTGCAAAACAAACAAACAAATAGGCCCATGAGGAGGTGCAGTGGGTAAAGGTGATTGCTGCCAAGCCTTGTAGCCTGAGCAGAATCCCCGGGTCCTACATCTTTGAAGGAAGGGAATGATTCCCACAAGAGGTCCTCTATGACCTCCACACATGTACCATGACACACATGTACATGCACACACAATAAATAAATTAATTAATGAAAGAAATAAGTAAAATTCAGGTGTAGATGGGATTATCTTGGGAAAGAATGAACAGGCCAAGGAAATGGGCCGGAGAACTGAAGACAGAGAACCCCAAGAGAGTCCACTTTTCAGGACTAAGAGCAGTCAGAGCAGAAAAGGGAGAGAAATTACAACTAGGAGATTGTCACTTCTCAGCCACCTAAGATCACCAAGGATGCTATTTTGGAAGGAAGGTGGATGAGGAGAATACAAGAAGTGGCCAGAATCTGTTGATGTTAGCCCCCTTGGAGCCAGCCTGTTCAGTAGTAACACGGGAAAGAAGGCATACTATAGGAGGCTAGAGATGTCCATGTAAGGGGCAGAGTGGCAGTTGGTTGTGCTACAATCTGTATTTTTGTAATGTGAATTAGTTTTGGGGCAAATGAAGGACTGCCAGTGAAATATGGAAGTCACTTTGCTCCTAGTAGCTGGTTTTCTCATCATGTTAATATTTTGCATCACTGGTTAATAACTCAGTTAAAGTACTCTAACTCAGCTGAAGGTAGCAAGCTTTGGGGACATAGGGAGCCTTATGTAAGACCCATTTACCCCATGTTGTATTTGGCCATGTTTTGTGTCCTGAAATGCTTTGGGGTATCCCTCATTGGTCTTTGTGCACTCAATAGTCAGCCTTTTTCATTACTACACCCATTACATACCTCCATCCCTTTTAAAGGTAAATGGCTATATTTATTAGAATGTCTCATTTTTAAAGGGTGTGTGTGTGTGTGTGTGTTTGTGTGTGTGTGTGTGTGTGTGTGTGTGTGTGTGTGTGTATGTATGTATGTATGTACGTACATATGTATGTATGTGTTGGTGCCTTTAGAGGCCCGAAAAGCACATCTGCTCCCCTGGAGCTGGAGTTATAGATGGTTGTGAGCTACATGGTGTGGGTGCTGAGAATTGAACTTCAGTCCTCTGGAAATGTAGCTTTTAACTGCTGAGCCATCTTTCCAGGCCATACAGTGTTTCTTTATTAGGAATTTAATATTAAAAATTATGGGTCTTTTATGATGCTGATTGTTTTTATATGAGCTCTTTAAGTCTTTTCCTAGCCCTTTCTCCTCTGATAATTTTTATAGTTCTTGTAAATGTTAGTTTTTAAGAAATCTGAATGTGACAATATATGAGATAGCCATGGATCCTTTTCTTGACTAATACTGGCAGGAGACATGGAAGGGAACAGCAAGGTCTATGGTGGAGGATTTTCCCCAAGCATCAGCAGACATAACTGTGCTTGCCTGCAGCTTAGTCTAGACCAGTGTGACTTGGTCTCCCTGAGTGACTCTTTCCAGAATGTTCTTTGTCATATGTTTACATGGTTGGGGGTTTTTGCATTTATACCTTCTCTTTGATGTTGCTGCAGTCTGAACCAGTGTCTGAAGCTGACTTACACCCTCAGCTGAACAGAGCTCCTTCCCAAGCTGCAGAGAGCAGTCCAGCAAAGAAGGTAAGAGCAGAAGAAAGATGCTGCTGTGGTAGTGTAAAGACCTCTGGGCTTCTTACAAATCTGCCATTTTAAAGTTTCCCCCCAGATGAATGGAACTGATCCACAGTTCTGAAACCTGAATTCTTTCTGAAAATTAGGATCCTGGAGGTTCTGGCGTGGACTGTGGATGTCCCTGGAAGTTTTGACTCTCTTCAACCTTCCAACTAAACATAGATGCCTTGCTTTTGACAAGGTCAAAAAATGTTGTGGAGGGTCAGAGAGGCTGAGAGGTTAAGAGCGCTTACTGCTCTTGCATAGGACCTGGATTCAGTTCCCAGCACCCATATGGTGGTTCACAACTTTCTGACCTCTGTGAGCACTGCACACATATGGTGCACATACATAAACTTGGGCACAGACATATAAAATATAAAAATAAATAAATACTTGCAAACTGTGGGGAGAGCTGGATGGCTTTAGTAAGACTTCATACATCTGCTGATGAAGTGGGTGAGTATAGGAATAGCTTAGCAACTCTGGACCCCACTTGGTTTTGTATATGCCCACACTGCTTTTCTGGCAGTGCACCCAGCAAACTAGGACTCTTACTTGCATCAAGTTTCTTGCATACTTCACTTCAAACAATTGCATAAATTACTCCTGCCTTGTCATCCATTTAGTAGTTGATCTTTTGTGGTCAGTTTCCTTTGAAAAATGCCCCAGAGCATATCAGGGATGAGACACAGGGAGTCCATCTGGCCTGAACTAGTTTTAGATGCATGTGCATTAAGGCAAACTGTGTCTTCAGCCTGAACTCTTAAGGAAAACCTCCTATTTACCATCTTATGTCTATGCATGATTGGGCATGCATAGGATTCAGATCAGATATATCATAGGAAAGGGCGTGCACAGTGAGAAAAAAGGTTAATATAACTCAAGCTTGCTAATCAAAAAGAATCCTCAATATTACACCCTTAGTAACCAACTTCTCCTTCTCTTGAATGCCATTAAAGAAAGCCCCAAACAACAGCCTGCTGTTCCTGGGCACTCTAGCTCAAGTAGCCCAGTGATTTCTTCAGCAATTCTCATACTGTCTATTTATGAGACTGACTTGTTGTCTGCTATGCTTTAAATCTCTTTAAATCAAGCTTCTTGCTGCTTTTCCATTTGTGTGATCATTTTAAAATTCTTTGATTAAGACACCAAGAATCTGGGACCATGTAGTTCAGACAGTGACCCTTGGTGATATTAAAGACCCAGTTAGTACCTCCTGTGGGTGGGACAGGCTTCCGTTCTTGGTACCATGATTTATTTCTTTTCTTGATTTGTTGTTGTTGTTGTTTTATTAGTTTTTAAAATTAGCATGCAGAACAGTAAGTTTCACTACCACATTTCCATAGGCATTTGTCTTTGTTGGTCCTCTCCTATTCCCCACCTACTGATGTCAGGGTTTTTTCTCGCATCTTGGCACCTTTACTTTTGCCTAGTCATGCCATTGGGCCCCTGTTCTTTGCACAACTAGTACTACTCACTAAGTAGCATGTTCACCACTTCTTTCTCACTATCTTCTGGTTCTTCAGCATTGTCTCCTAGGCCATTCCCTTAGCAAAGAGAGTGAACCTTGGGCTTGGAAGGTGACATGGGGTCCTCCAAGGAAACAGATCAACTGTTTCTTTGAATACATTGGCATGTAGGAATCAGGAGTAGGAGAATGATGAGCACATGACTAAGACCATTACAGACTTTGCCCCGGAGTGACACAAGAGCCGATTTTGTCTTCAATTAGAAAAGATCTCAGGGTTATACAAAGTCTATGTGAGCTACAGTGACAAGAAAGTATAGATTGTTTACAATATTAAAAAAGGAAGAGTAAGGTTACTAGATCTTATTTTGGTGTCCCTCTTGATGACAGAAAGGGGTAGTAGATTATCTATCTATCTATCTATCTATCTATCTATCTATCTATCTATCTATCTATCTATCTATCTATCTCCTGTTGTACATCCTGACTGGAGTTTCCCCTTCTCCCAGTCCCTGCCTCCCACCTCTCCTCTGCCCCCATCCACTTCTCCTCTTTTCTCTTCAGAAAAGGGAAGGTTTGCCATGGATATCAGCTGGCCATGGCATATCAAGTTGCAGTAAGACTAGGTATCTCCTCTCCTATTAAGGCTGGACTAGGAAATCCAGTAGGAGGAATAGGGTCCCCAAAGAAGGTAACAGAGTCAGAGATAATCCCTGCTCCCATTGTTGGGAGTCCCACAATATTACTAAGCTATACAACTGTCACATATATGCAGAGGGCCTAGGTCAGTCCCATGTAGGCTCCCCAATTGTCAGTTCAGTCTCTGTGAGCTATGAGCCTAGGTTAGTTGATTCTGTGGGTTTTCTTGTGATGTCATTAACTCTTCTGGCTCCTATGATCCTCCCTCCTCTTCAGCAGGATTCCCCGAGCGCCTAATGTCTGACTGTGGGTCTCTGTATCTGTTTCCACCAGTTGCTGGATGAAGCCTCTGATGACTATTGTGCTAGGCACCCATCTTTGAGTATAGTAGAATATTGTTAGGTATCATTACGTTGACATATATTTCCCTCCAGTTGTGTTTGGTTCTCTCCTAGGTCTCTGGGCCATCCACCCTCTGGGTCCTGGTGCTCCAGGCAATGTCAGGGGTGGGCTCACTCTCATGGCATGGGTCTGAGGCTAGAGAAGTCATTGGTTGACCACCCCACAATCTCTGTGTCACCCTATTCCATAGGCAGAACAGACTAGGTCAAAGTTTATGTGGCTAGGTTTGTGTCCCAATCCTTCTAGTGGTAGATTTGCCTGGTCACAGGAGGTAGCCACCTCAGGCTATGTATACCCTTTTGCAAGGAGTCTTAGCTGGGGTCATCCTTGTAGATTCCTTAGAGTTTCTCTTGCACCAGGTTTCTACCTGACACTGAAATGACCCCTTTCCAGTTGGATCTTTTAGTACTCTCCCCCCAACCTAATCCCTCATGTTCCCATCCTTACTTGCCCCCAGTGCATTTTTAAAAGAAAGGGAGGCAGGCTGTTTGCTGCAACCCACTGTCAGCATCCCTCTGGCACTTGCTGAGCCAGGTATCAGCTATAGGTCTGTGGTATGTAGTCTTCTGATCTTGGGGACAGATCTGTGTATAGTGGCATAATGGATGGAGAGATCATTAAAAAATCTTTTGATCACTTTGAGTTTATTTTTAATTCACAGGATGCAATACATGCTCAGCCTCCATCAAAGCCTATTCGCAGGAAATTCAGATCTGAAAATCAAACAACAGAAAACCAAGAGCCTGCTGCTGCTGTTGGAGGGGCAGCTTCTGCAGCAATGGTGAAACCCCATCCAACAGTACAAAAGTAAGTAGCTCAGATGAGTGAAAAGATGGTGGGGAACTTCCTCTTACATCTGCATGCATATGTATTTGTTAATGTGTGTGCATTTATTTTCCTAGCCATAGGGTTTTATGGTTGTCATAGTCACCTCTGCCATAGTGATGGTGATTATGGTGGCATTAAGGCCCCCAATCAGATAGGACAATTTATAATCCATAGGACATAGCCTGACCCAAATAAGCAGGCAATTCCTAGACTAGTGTTTGGTTTGGTTTTCTGCCCTTCTCACTTTTCTTTTTTTGTGTTGATCAGATTTTATTATGTATGAAAGAGACAGTATGGTGAGGGCAATTTCCCCTTATTTCTTGCCTGATCTCATTTCTTTAGGGCACATGGCTAGCTCTGTGATCATAGACCCAACTTTCAACAGAAGTGGGGTATTACTTAAAAAGCACGTAGAGTTCCTGAATGGCACAGGCTGATCCTTTGCAATACCTCCTTTACCATCTGGAACAGATACTGGAGGGCTTGAGACACTGTGGATAGGACTGAGGATGGATAAAATGGTGCTCTGAACAAACTGCCCTTATCTAGAAGATTGTCTTTGAGAAGATTGTTACTTGACTCAGTCTTTCTGTAGTGACATTAAGTGAGACATTGAAGGCAAAACCCCACTGCTATCACTTGATTTGAAGTGAGCCTTACTGGCCAGTATCACAAATACTTGAGATCCCTTGTGATATTTCTGTAGAGCACTTCAGGTCTCAGGGGCTCTGTAGCTTTCCTTCTGCTACACTATGGTGGAAAGAACAGCAACAGGTTCTGTGGGTGATGTCAACAGCTTGCCTAGAAGCTGGATCCCATTTGGATTCTTTGTTTCCTTCCTTCCTTCCTTCCTTCCTTCCTTCCTTCCTTCCTTTTTCTGAGACGTGTTTCTCTGTGTAGCTTTGGATCTCGTCCTGGAACTCACTCTATAGACTGGTGTCGAACTCCCAAGTGCTGGGATTAAAGGCATGTACCACCACTGGAGTATTTTTCTTTCTCCAAATAGATAGTTCCCTGAAGTCATCAGCTAGTACAAGAAGTGATTTTCTGCATCACTTTGCTAACTTGAGGGATAGAGTTCTGTCTGGCACAAAGATGACTAGTTTTTTCTTCCTTAGTTTCAGCTTCATGTTAATTCTAGTCAGTCAGTGATGGCCATATTGCTCTCCAAACTAGATGGCAGGGCATCTGATGAACTTCACACACAGAACTGTTGCTTTCCATTTTTGTTTTTTAAAATCAGCTCTGTTGAAATATAATTTGCAGAGCATACACCTCAATGGCTTTTAGTATATTCACAAAGCCATGTGATCATTACCACAGTACAATTTTGGAACATTTTTTGTTATCTCCAAAAGAATCTCCATGCCCAGTAGAAGTTGCTCCCCACTTTCCCTTTTCCTTCTCTGCTTCTGGAAACCTCTCATTTACTCTCTGTCTCTACTTGGCTTACATTTTGCATAGATATAGCCACGCATCATGTGGTCCTTTGTGATTTTTTTTTTACTTTTAAAAGTGTTTTCAAGGTTCATCCATGTTGCAGCATGAATTAGAACCCATTTTTTTCTGTAGAATAATTTTATTTATTTATTTTAGAGGCACTCATATCCATCCTTTCATTCCCTCGCCCTCCTATCCTCCCATGTTCCCCACCAGCCCCCCCCCAACTCACCCCCTCCTCTTCCCCAGGGATAGTGAGGACCTCCACGGGGGACCACAAAAGTCTGTCATATCATATGGGGGAGGGCCTAGGCCCTCCTTGCTGTATCTGGGCTGCAATAGTATCCCTCCATAGGGAATGGGCTCCCAAAGTCCATTTGTGCTCTAGGGATAAACACTGGCTCTACTGTTAGAGGTTCTATAGACAGTCTTGGCCCCCTAGCTGGCACCCACATTCAGAGGGCTTGGTTCGGTCCAATGCTGGTTCCCCAGATTTATGATAGGGTCTCCGTGCTCTCACTAGGTCAGGTCAACTGTTTCTTCGGTGAGCCCATTTTTTTTTTAATATAGAATGCTATTCTACTCTATTAATGTTCCACATGATATTCAGTGACTCATCAGATTTGTGTTATTTGAGCTTTTTGTATACTAAGAATAATGCAATTAATTTGCATATTAAGGACAATAATAGAGTTATCTGTGTTCATGTTGCTGTGTGGACTTGTGTATTCCTTTCTTTTGGGAATATACATATGAGTTAAGTTGGGCTTACATGGTAATACTATGTTTAACACATTGAAGAAGTACCAAATTGTTTTTCACAGTGACCACACCACACATCTCTAACAATGTATGAGGGTTCTAGTTCTCTATTTCTTCATCAATACTTATCTAGTATAAGATAATTCTATGTATTGTACAGTGATTGTATAGTAATTACAATTATATAGTAACATGTATTTTTTTTTAGTTTTTGAGAATACAATGTAATTCTATCATTTGTCCCTTTCCTTTCCTCCCTCCAAACCTTTCCATGCAACCCCTTGCTCTCTTTCAAATTCATGGCCTCTTTTTTCATAAATAGAACATGTTCCGTCTGTATAATGTTACCTGTGTGTGTATGTTTTCAGAGATGACCATTTGGTATTAGACAATTAAATGGTGTGCTCTTCCCTAGCGAGCCTTCCTTCCTTCCTTCCTTCCTTCCTTCCTTCCTTCCTTCCTTTTTGTCTTTCTTTTATGGTAGCCCATGCCTTTAATGTCAGGATTTAAAAAAAATTATTTAAATTAAAAACAATCTTCTTTGACATACCAATCCAAGTTCCCTCTCCCTCCTGTCCTCCCATGCCCCCCACAAACCCCCATCCCACCCCTCATCCACTCCCCAGGGAGGGTGAGACCTTCCATGGGGGATCATCAAAGTCTGTCACATCATTTGGGGCAAGACCACAGCCCTTCCCCCTGTATCTAGGCTAAGAGAGTATCCCTCCATAGGGTATGGGCTCTAAAAAGCCAGTTCATGCACTAGGGATAAATATTGGTTCCACTGCCTGGGGCCCCATAGACCGCCCAAGTCACCCAACTGACACCCACGGTCAGCAGGTTCCCCATGCTTCAGTCTGGAGTCTGTGAGCTTAGGGAGCATTTCTTTATTGCCTGTAGTTCTTTATGTAGGGTTGAGGCCTTGTGAGCTTTTGCCTGTCCAGTTAATATGTCTATTGATATCATCCCTTTTCAGGTCTTATTTAGACAGTCATTCATCCTAGTGACGTTAAAGTAGTATCTCATTGTAGTTTTGATTTGCATTTCCTTTTCTTGTGCTTATTGTCCATTTGAATACACTTTTAGATAAATATCTACTCATCCTTTGCCTACTTATGGTTGAGTTGTGGGTTCTTTATATAGTTTACATATATCTCCCTTGTTAGATGCATGCTTTTCAAATATTTTTTCCTGTTCTGTTGGTTGTGTTTTCACTTTCTTTGTTGGTATAGTTGGAAGTACCAAGTTAAAGTACCAAGTTTAAGTGTAAGTGTGTGTGTGTGTGTGTGTGTGTGTGTGTGTGTGTGTGTGTGTGTGTTTGAGACAGGATCTCACTGTGTAGCCCTGAATGACCTATAACTCAATTTATAGACCAGGCTTGCAACGAACACACAAACATCCACCTGTCTCTGCATCCTGAGTTCTGGTTTTGAAGGTGTGTACCTCCATGTCTAGCTTTTCACTTAGATTTTTAGTGTCATATTTAAGATACCATTTCCTACTCCAACTTCACAAAGATTGTTTTTTTTCTAAAAGTCATGTCACTTTATAGCTGATATTGACATCTATGGTCTACTTTGTGCTCATTTTGTGTATCATGTAAAGATGGGATTCAGCTTCATTCTTTGATATGCAATTATACAGTTGTCCCTACAGTGTTTATTGAAATGGTGTTTCTATCCTTCATTTGTTCTGTGAATGTCCTTTAACATGTTACTCTGAGGCTAGTGAGGTGACCATGTGATATTTAGCTGAGAGACTACTGCACAGATCACGTATGAATAGTCAAGGCCCAAGCTTTCACATGAGAGTATTTTATACAGCTTCTTGTTTTAGTTCCAAGACTAGTTTATTTTGGCATGATAGAAAGGAATTTAGCATTCATAATTTTTCAATACCAGGAGGAAAAGATAGAAAATACAAGATTGTTGGCCTACAGTTCTTTCCCAGCCAGCGTTTTGAGAAATGTAAGCTCAGATTCCCTTAGACATGTGTTGTATAGAGTTGTTACCCCCTCCCTCACTTCTCTCTAATTTACAGTGTTAGTTGCTATGTACCATCTTTGGGAAAAATGAGAAAAAGAGTCACAATCATTTTCTGTAAGCCTTAATTCTCCAACAGAACACCGAAAAAAGGCTAAAAATAAAGTAGACAAGCTATAAAACTGTCATCAGCTTTTATAGAAATTAACATCAAAAATGAAACATTGTCAGAAACAAATTCAGCTTTTGGTATTGCCATTGTCCACAAAAAGAAATTAGTAAGCTTGCCCAAGTAAACTGCTGAGTCCAGGTCATGTGTAATAAACAACTAATAATGTGTCATCATTAATAAGGACAGATGTGAATTTGGCTTAGAAACAATTCGGCTTAGTTGTTTTTTGCTGCATATTTCCTGTCTATTAAAGATGAACCTTTGAAAAATGGGATTATTCATGCAGTGTGGAGACAGAGGATACCATATGACAGTACCATGGCTCTGTGCCAGCCTCTATAACTTCTACTCTTCTCTGTAAGTCCAGAGTGTTCTAGCATCTAGTATAGACTGCTTGCTTGCTTGCATGTTTTCAGTGTGGCTGTATTTTTTTTTCTTTCTGTCCTCATGCTTGATGTATTTTGATTGTGGGATTAATGGCTTGAATCTCTGATGGAAGCCTTCTGTTTCTAAATGTAGAAAACGCAATACAAGTTTTGGACTTAGAAGGTGCACCCAGTTTTCTTGGGAGAAATCGAGGCCTGGGGACTGGCTAAGATTTGTCCTTTTCTTAAAGGCAGGAT